CCCCTCCCCTAACGGGGCATCCTATTGGCTCAGCCACTCCCCAAAATCTTCGGCCTCAGGAGTTGGGAAAACACCTGTCAGCGCGCGCGAGCGTGGTCGTGTGGGCGGGGAAGCTAGATTTAAAGGGCTCACCCGAGGCCGCGGATCCAACGAGAGGCCGGGGACAGGTGGCCCGCCGAGTGCCAGGCCCCTGGGCGGACGCTTACAGAAAAGATTTTTTTTTTTTAATAAAAAGAAATTCACCATTTCTCCCATTGCTCCAAGGTGCTCATCCAAAGAATAGACTTTCCTAGAAATAGAAAATAAAACGTTGCTTCAGGCATAAGGCCTCCACGCTTCTCTGTTCCCCCTCATGCTCCATACTCAAGCAATTAGTTGAAAAGCTGATTTAGGCCCAAGGGGGGTGGGGGGTGCTCAGTGGATGAGCATCCACCTGTGTAGGATCCAGGAGATCACTGCTCCATTCGGGCTGGATTTCCGGTCAGGGCACAGCCCGCGTTGTGGGCTCCATGCCCAGGAGGGGGCATGCAGGAGGCAGCCCATCAATGACTCTCATCGCTGGTGTTTCCCCCTCTTTCCCTTCCTCTCCCTTCCTCTTAGAAATCAATAAAAACACTTAAAAAACAAAACAAAAAACTGGTTTAGTATTTTACAGCCTCTGCAGATTAGGTATATAACCACCTGTCTTCCCTCGCCCCCCATTCCCACCCTCCCAAACTGACCTGCAATGAGTCAAACTACAATTCCACATTAGAAATACATCCTTGGATTTTTAGCTTTATGGGTCTGTTCACTTTTTCCTTGGGCTCTAGGACAACTTGGTTTGAGGCTCATTCTCATGAAACAGATTCTAGTCCAGAGCTACCAGTTTGGTTACAAAGGATCAGAAACTGTCCCAGGCCTGAGCTGTTCAGTCTGCAAGAACTTAAGTGGCCACCTCAGGAGAGCACCAACCTCAGATGATTAGGTGTATTCTACAAGGGACCCAGCTTTAGGCCTCCATGTTCCCGCTCTGCAAGCTCACCTGCCCAACCCCCAGGTGATTGCTAGCTATGGGAGATCCTGGGCTTTTCTTGATCTAAAATATCCTGGCACTGGGTCTTATCAGAGTATATATCACTAGCCTCTTGCAGCTCAGAAACTGTGCCCTGAGCAGAGGCCAGAATCTCATGCGGGTAGTAAACTCTTGGTTTGCTATTTGCACAGGCATTCTACATGTGAATTGTTTTCCTTTTTCAGTTTCTCCAGAAGCAGCAAATGCATAAATAAAAAGTATCAGGAGAACTTAAAAATCAAGCCACCCTGCCTCCTCACTCAACGTCTAAGACCTTCCCACTCCTCCCCCACATCTTTTATCTATAGCCTTGTCTCCAGAGAATTTCCGTGGAGCTGAGAACAGAGAGAAACAGCAGCCTCATCCCAGAAGCATGAAGTCTTCCCTTTCCTAGGCCCACAGCAAACAGGCACAGAGAGGGGGCCAGACCAGCTGAGCATACTGTTCACACAGAAGCAGCCTCAGGCCCGGAGAAACTAAGCCTAGAGCCCGCACGGTGACTTGAGGATGGTACTGGTTTCGGAACTATGCGCACAACTCTCTGGGATTATCTTTGTTTTCTACTTTTATCACCCTCCCCCCCTGCCCTGTTTTCTTTTCTTTCATTCAATCTCTTCTCAGTCCCCTTTCCTTAAATCCCCTTCTACTTCCTATGATGACTCTCAGATACCTCTTTTCCAGGAAAGCTACTTTTTAAATTTCCATTCTGTCCCCGAATAACAATTTAAGTGATTAAAACAAAAGAAAACAAGCAAAACAAAAATGTTGTGCTTTTGGAAAATTTTAAGTTTCTATTTTTGAAAAAAAGAAGTCTTATTTACAATAATTTGTAAGACATGAAGAAATGGATTGTGTATTTTAGCTTAAATTGAGGGGAAACTTTTTAAAAACTTAGTATTTGGGGGCTTTTTCTATTTGTGTCCATTGTGATAATTTTTACTCCCTCATCAGTTTTATATCTCTTCTGTGGCAGGGACTCTTGGTCTCACTCATACATCTAAAATAATTCTTGGCAAAAGAAGGATTTCAGTATTTATTGGTTACAAAAAACAGTCCATTTTTTTGGGATGCTAGACAGCCTATACTTGGTATCCACCAATTAAATTACTTGACACATCTATGATTTGCCTCTAATTCTCATTTTGTTCTGCCTTGACACCATTTTCCTGGTTCTAACTGTTAAAACAATGATTAATACCTGGCCAAAGTTGGGTATCTGACCAGCAGCCTCTAAAATGAATTGGCATGAAGCTTTACCTAACAAAACAGCCTATATTCTATGGTGACTGGTCAACCCAATCAGAGTCTAGCTCAAATACTCTGAATACAAGACCCTAGAGACTCAAATAGGAAGGTGGTACCCTGTGTGGCCGAACCAGTAGAAGCCATGAGCTAGAGTCAAGACTTAATTCTTTATGTGTTGCTCTCATTGGCTTCTCATCTAAACTGAGTCATCAAGGAACATCAGAGTAGGAGACATAGGCTACCTGATGTGGAAACAGCATGCTAACCGGATTGCTAGAACATTTCTGAGATGAATGTATTCACTTTCCCATGTATCCTTATAATAAATCCCTATCGGTTGAATTAACTAAAATATGTTGCTGTTATTTGCAACCTGGAAAAAAAAATCTTAATAACCAACCTGTGACTTAGCAAGCCACAAATGAATACCTAGAATCCGCTCAGGACCCCTTTTCTAGGAACTGCCCTTCTTTCAGTTTGACATTTTTAACTTGGATCTGCCTCCACCAATCCCCACTCCCTCTTCTAAGTTGGACCAATCAAAATTCCTTGGTCACTGTTGACTGGTTGAGAGATGGTCACTCTCCCTGAGTCTCTTCTCTGGGAATTTTGTACATGGGAAGGAAAGAGTTAACATTCAGTCATTCATTGGTAGCTTTTGAGATATAAATGCCCACAGCTGGCCTGTTTCATTTTACGAAGAGATGAAGAGATGACCAGGTGACAATGGTAAAGAATAAAGCTGCCATTTTAAAGGAGCAAAAGTCTGGATAGGTCTGAAGAATGGTGGAGATCCTCTCTGGATAGGTCTGAAGATCCTCTTGTGGCTTAGTTATTCAAACCCCTTTTTCCTCATGCTAGCTCAGTTTTTGTTTTTGTTACCTGAAACAGGAATAGCATGAAATGGTAAAAGAGCTTCTCCAACTTGAGTGAGATGGTAAAGGCCAAAGCACCCCTTGTGGAAGGTATCTTGGTATGGCCCACATTCTTTAGTTTCCCTTCCAGTTTTTCATGCTTTCCCATGGCTGAAGCCATAACCCCAACATAGAACTTCCTTTAGCCTTTGCCCTTTCCAATGTCCCCTTCTTTACTTCATTTCTTCCATTAGTAATTGAATTCAAGGAGAGTCTTGACACCATGAATGACAATGCTGCTGGTGGGAGAAAATAATACATTGATCTCTGAGTTCAATGTTGAATTAGATATATTGTCCCAGACATATAGATCACTCCAATCTTCAGGTTGTTTCTAAAACTTGCTGTTTTAGACATTTTGTTATTGGCTATGAATGTACATTTGGGACAAAAATCAACTAAGAAAGAAAAGATGCTGTGACAATTCAATTATCTTCTCCTGAACATTTAAAAATATAGCATTCTAATTTCCCTCCCATTGTCATCTTCATCATCATCTAAGTTACTCCGTGATCGCAAGTAACTTCCTTCATATACGTGAGCCTATTGCCTCATCTTTAAAGGAAGAGATTGTTATGTTCCAAATCTAAGGCTTCATGAGTCTATGATTTACTGATCACCTATCAGGTGCAAGTAATAATTTTCACAGACTTCAATTATTTCTTAGATATCCCCCCCCCCCC